GCAAAAAGTCAGCGTCAGAGGTTGGGGGAAGTGTCCCTTCTAAGCTGAGTTAGTGTGAGCTAGCTCACAGTTTTTTAGCCTCTGGCTCACACATTTTTGTCTTAGCTCAGGATGGATGGCTCCAGGGCAAACTAATTTATGCAGTAGCCAATTCACCTGCTCACAACTTTTATGCCAGGCGCTCAGGACCATAAGGAAGGCCGAGCACCAAAGAATAGATTCTTTTGAACTGTGGTGCTGGAGAAGACTCTTGAGAGTCCCTTGGACTGCAAGGAGATCAAATCAGTCCATCCTAAAAGAAATCAACCCTGACTGTTCCCTGGAAGGCCAGATAATGAAGCTGAAGCTCAAATACTTTGGCCACCCAATGAGAAGGGAGCACTCACTGGAGAAGACCCTGATGCTGGGAAAGATTGAAGGTCAAAGAAGACAGGGATGGCAAAGGATGAGATGGTTAGACAGTGTCATCGATGCAACGAACATGAAATTGAGTCAACTTCAGAGGACAGCGGAAGACAGTAGGGCCTGGAGTGATCTTGTTCATGGGGTCGCGAAGAGTCGGACTCGACTGTGCGACTGAACAACAACAAGCGGCTCTCAAACATATGACATTTGTTCTATGTGGCTCTTACATCAAGCAAGTCTGGCCACCCCTGATCTATAGTGATGGCGACGGGGGGGGACCACTGGTTGGATAGGATTAAGGTGTAACCAAGTCCGCAAACTTAATTCCACTCATCTTATATTACAGGGATGCTTATTTTCAGCACTTGTTCTTGTCAAATAGGAGTTTTCCCGTATTTGCTTGACAATACATATTACTTCTCAGCCCGGCGAATGAAATCTTCCCTTGTAAACGACCATATCGAAAACATTTTCTGCACTTTTGAGCTTTTCTGCTGCTTTCCGATCTGAGAAAAGTGACATCCCAAATAGAAAGACGCTTTCCCAGGTGAAGTTTCTCTTCCGCTCGACTGGCAAGCCACGTCCTTGGAGACGGCGCCAAGTATTGCCCACACACTTGAAGTCCGCCTTCGCAGCCGCGAGAATGACAAAACTTTATTTTGACAGACCGAGACTGAAATCCTTTTCAAGATGCTTTTCAATTCAGGCAGCACCAACAGTCATACATGTGTAGTGGAAACATCTCAAGAACCACTGGTTGGATAGGATTAAGGTGTAACCAAGTCCGCAAACTTAATTCCACTCATCTTATATTACAGGGATGCTTATTTTCAGCACTTGTTCTTGTAAAATAGGAGTTTTCCTGTATTTGCTTGATAATACATATTACTTCTCAGCCCGGCGAATGAAATCTTCCCTTGTAAACGACCATATCGAAAACATTTTCTGCACTTTTGAGCTTTTCTGCTGCTTTCCGAACTGAGAAAAGCGACATACCAAATAGAAAGATGCTTTCCCAGGTGAAGTTTCTCTTCCGCTTGACTGGCAAGCCACGTCCTTGGAGACGGTGCCAAGTATTGCCCACACACTTGAAGTCCGCCTTCGCGGCCGCAAGAATGACAAAACTTTCTTTTGACAGATTGAGACTGAAATCCTTTTCAAGATGCTTTTCAATTCAGGCAGCACTAACAGTCATACATGTGTAGTGGAAACATCTCAAGGAAAAAAAAGGAAGCTAGATCAATTGTGTGAATACACACAACCACAGCCCATATTTTTAAAAGGATGTTACCAAGGTCAAGAATTGTACTCTATGCAGTGTAAGAAAACTTGCAATAAGGGTTGGCTTCACTAGGGTTTTTTGTTTTTGTTTTTTAAACTGGTCCAAGGAATTGGGGGGGGGGCATTTTCCACCTCTCATTTTCACCCCACCCTTCCTCCAACAGGCTAAGAACCATATACATAGCTTAAAAAGGTAAAGGTTCCCTTGCTCGAAAGCCAGTCGAATCCGACTCCAGGGCTGTGGTGCTCATCTCCATTTCAAAGCCGAAGAGCCAGCGCTGTCCGAAGACGTTTCCGTGGTCATGTGGGCGGCATGACTAAACACCAAGGCACACGGAACGCTGTTACCTTCCCACCGAAGTGGTACCTATTTATCTACTTGCAATTTCTTGCTTTCGAACTGCTAGGTTGGCAGGAGCTGGAACTAGAGACGGGAGCTCACTCCATTATGCGGCACCCGGGTCTCGAACTGCTGAACTGCTGACCTTCCACAGCCTGCAGTTCAGCATCTTAACCACTTGAGCCACCGCAGCTCCTCATACATAGCTTACATTCCTATTTTATCCTCACAACACCACTGCAAGGGAGGCTGAAAGCGTAACTGCCTTAAAATCACCCAGTAAGGGCACATTTGAACTCAGGTCTTCCACATCTCAGACCAGCACTCTAAACCTGATAATTTTTTCCCCCTATACTGGGAATGGTGGGGGCTCTGTGGACAGTAACTCAGGCCGAATAGGGCTGCAGCAAGGATCGGGCAGTATCATCCTCCCCTCCCCTTGCGCCAGCAAAAAAGTCAGCAGGATCAAGCCCCCCGGCATATATACCTGCGGCCTTTCCTATTAGTGAACACTCATAATGTTGGCTTACACCAAATCAGACACGATCGCTATGAGTAGAATGTAGGACCTCCCACCATTCTGGTGCACGCTGAAACCACAAGGCAGGAAATTCTGGGAACAGCTCTAGCCAAAAGGCAGAGCATGTGTTTCGTGCCCGTCATGCCCAGATTCAAGCCCCTGACAGCCCATTGAAAGCTAGGCGGAAAGCAATGCTCCCTCTAAGCTGTGGAGGCTTGTGAGCAAAAATTCTACTTTGTGAGCTACTGGTATTAAAGTCGTGAGCAAACTATTTGGCTCCTGCATCAATTAGTTTGCTCAGGAGCCATCCTTCCTGAGCTATGACAAAAACGTGAGGCGGAGGCTTAAAAATTGGAAGCTAGCTCACACCAACTCAGCTTAGAGGGAACACTGGTGAAGAGTGGCCTCTGTCCAAATCTTTGGCAGGATGTTGCTGATCAAACTGGACTGGACAGAAAATGGCCTCTTTCGGCATGAAACACGTCCATATATTCCATCTCCAGCTGTGCCAGGAAGCTGGGCTAGAACCCCATTCATGTGTATGGCAATTGCTTCATGTGGAAGAACATTTGATCACAACTCCCACCGCAGTCTTAGAAGTTACTAGCCTAGGCAAGGCGGCTTAACGTCTTAGTGAGAACTAGCCCCAAAAGATAATCCGAATACAGAACGCTTTATTCTCCCTCCATCCCCCAGTGAAATGTTTTCTTGTTGGATAGGCTACCGATGTCACTACACTGTGAAATTAAAGTTTTAAAAGGCTAAAAATAAAGCTGCCATTTTAAAATTAATTGAACCTATCCTTTCCTTCTTCAATGGGGCAAAATACTAAATTTACCAGAATGCACTGTTGTGCGTACACTTCACACTTTAAACCCTTTTCCATTCCCGTATGTTACTTTCAACAAGGAACTACGACGTTAATGATTTATTAAACTGGAAGTAAAAATAAACTATTCAAATCGGGAAGCAAAAATAAACTATTCAAATCCGATGCTGGACATCCCTAGTCTTCATGTTGGAGGAGAAGCTATATAGCCAGTTTTGAAGCAGACAACAGGCTGGAAAGAAATACGGTACTGGTGTAGATGTTGTGAGGAAATGCTAAATGTTAATTTGTGTATAGCCCAAGAGTACAGGACTGCACTCACGGACTCTGCGCTTCTCTAGACTCGTTCGGCATGGTACACACACAGGTTATCTGGAGGTTCTTCCAAAATGATCAGGAACCCGGTCAAAATCAAGTAGAGAACATACTTTCAGCAGGCAGCCATGTTCGTCTGCAGTAGAACACCTGGATTCAAGCCCAGGAGCACCTTAAAGACCCCACAAGATTTTCAGGGGGAGCTTTGGACTCTCAAAAGCTCATAATCTGAACATCTGGTTGACCTATAGGTGCCACTGCACTCGAACCTAGCTGCTCTACAGACCACACAGCACGTAGGCTCCACGGATACATTATGCTGAATGCACGGAGAAGAGCGGAACCTGTGGGCAGGATCCCACTGTGTTGTGAACAAGCACTGGATATACACCAACACGCTTGTTAGAATCTTTCTTTCGCCAGACATCACAGTCACCTTCCACAGATAAACCGCTATTCGGCAGATGATCATATACCAAAACAAGGAAGAAAACCTTCCTGCCCCTTTCTCACAAGAACTCGTGGACACTCGATGGAATCACTGAGCAGTCAGGTTATAACGGATAAAAGGAAGTCCTTCTTCACCCAAAGAGTGATTAACATGTGGAATTCACTACCACAGGAGGTGGTGGCGGCTACAAGCATGGACGGCTTCAAGAGGGAATTGGATAAGCACATGGAGCAGAGGTCCATCAGTGGCTATTAGCCACAAGGCACAGATAGGAACTCACAGGCTGGGGCAGGTGATGCACTGTATTCTTGGTGCTTGGGGGGGGGGGAGCAACAGTGGGAGGGCTTCTAGTGCCCTGGCCCCACTGCTGGACCGCCTGATGGCACCTGGTATTTTTGGCCACTGTGTGACAAAGTGTTGGACTGGATGGGCCATTGGCCTAATCCAACACTGGCTTCTGTTATGTTCTTATGTTCAAAGTGACGAAGAATACGATAAGCAGCTAGGAAGGGTCTCCTATCCTCAACCTATCTTCGTGAAGCTGCCGTTGCCTTCTCAGTCTGATGTGCGCGGGGACCCCAGCAGCTGTCAAGCCTTCATGGCAACGTGCGGGGACCGCCCAAGTGGGTTTCGATCCATCACTTTGGCTAACCCAGCAGCTGTCAAGCCTTCATGGCAACTTCTACAGTGATAGACAACATGCTCTTTCTCAGGCAACCAGCTCAGGGTGGGGGCAGAGAGCACAAAATAGCCCTGGCTTTGAGAACCCCCCCCCCCCCAGCGTGATGTGAGCAGACCTTGAAGTGCTCAGGGGGTGGGTAAAGAATGAGATGACATCACACATGCTAAGTAGGTATTATTTATTAAGGCTTGTATTCTCCTAGAGGAAAAAAAAAGTTAAATCCGGTGCTGTCCGTTACTCCTTACACCATAAGTAACAGTCCAGAGACAAAGCTATATATTCTAAATACAAGTCTAAATGATACATCTTAAATTTCATTTAAATTGGAGGTCCTTTTTTTTTTTGAGTAAATAAGTTTTCAAGAAGATATTTGCTTTCTAAGAATAAGTAAAAGATCCTCTACGATACACGTGCAAACTTCGGTGTGCTAGAGAGACAGGCATGAGCACCAAAGAATTCATGCTTAATTTTTTGAAAACTCCGATCGGTGGCTGGTTCCTCAAAACAGCTCCCTCATTCCACAGAAACATGACAGCAAATCCCATTTCTTAAAACAGTAGGCTTTTTTTTTTTTACTCATCCAACAGGAAAAAAAATTTACACACATTGTCAACTTTAAACATCTGAAGCATAATCCATCATGTGTGTCTGTACTAAGATTCTATATTAAAGCTCACCATTATTGGTATAAAATTCCAAATGGCATTTTCGAGAAGTGGAAAAGAGGGGGGGGAGTGTTTAACAGAACACTGAAAACCAGCCTAATGTAAAAAACCCACATTGCCAGAAACCCCTTGCAATGTTGACATTATTTAACCAATAAGCTACAAAGAAAATGAGGTGATGGGAGAGAGGGGAGAAAAAAATGTCTCACCTTTTGCAGTATGATACAGAGCAGGTGCTCCCAGAAGAGCACTGGTTCACCAAATAGGAAAAAGGGGGGGGGGGAGAGACTACTTTCAGACACTGTTAAGGCCACAACCCATGGGGAACATTTCTCATGAAAGCCCCACTGAGATGACTGAGAGTCAGGCAAGAGCACAATTGTGCGTTAGAGCAATTTTCATTTATGCAGCTTGCACGAGAAACGGCCCTGTGAATTATGCTTTTCTACAGGACAGCAAAAGGTGTACTTTCAGCAGTTAAAACAATAATCAACTGAACAGAGGAAAACTACTCAAAGTGATCTGAGCTTGCTGTATTAATGTCAAAATTCTAATACGTGCTTAGGGTTTTCTATAATTGAGCTTAAAAATGAAAGATTCAGGAGAAGGGTTTTTTTTTATACCATGAAGAATCAAAACAATCGTGGGAATGGTGAGACAAGAGGATCTGTAGTACATAGATACAAAATTAAGGTGAATTTCCAGATTAGAAAACATAATTTGTGCTGAAGTCTTTGGGAGACACTCATATTTTCAGAATATAGAATTATAATCATGAAAACTGTTTAACCAACTTAAAATTATTTTTAAAAAAACAGGTAACACCTTTATTCATGGATTCTACAGCATTTTACATAGAAAAGATACAAATGAACGCATATTCACCTGGGCAAAAAACAAAAACAAAAAATTTCCAATGTACTTAAAGATGCAACCATTGAATTTCCCCTGCACACACGCACACACACACAAAACGATATCGGAGCTGAAAGCTTTTCAGTCTTCTGATGCCAGAATACGGCACCAGAGTACTCTTTTTTTAAAAAGATTCGATTTTTCATAATCAAATTTTAATATCAGATATATATACACATATATATCTCAAGCTATATATGTCTATTCTTATTGTTTACTTCGATTCTGACGTTCCTGTAAAGAGAAAAATACACAGTTAGAATTCGGAACCAAAAAATGCAACACTGAAACACAAGCTTTAAAATACACAACCTTTTCAGAAGGCCAGCCCTATTTGTCTGCTGCAGGTAGAAAAAGGGGGCTTGTGGCATCTTTAAGACTGACAATACTGTGGTATAAGGTACTGTGGCTCAGTGGTAGAGCATCTACTTGGCATGCAGAAAGTCCCAAGTTCAATCCCCGGCATCTCCAGTGAAAAGCATCAGGCAGTAGGTGATGTATAAGAACTCAACTTGAGACTCCAGAAAGCTAAAGCCAGTTTGAGTAAACATTACAGACCTTGATGGACTGATGGTCTGATTCGGTATGAACCAGCTTCGTGTGTTATGGCACAAGAAATTTACTAGGTTTTAAGGCACAAGTGACTGTTACGGCCACTGCAGCATTCTGAAAGCAGTGAAGCAGGTCTTTACTGCAACCACCCAAAACGAGTCTTGTCCCCAACTTTTTAAGCATCCAAAGAAACTGTATACAGACAAGATGCCTTCCCGTGAAGCAATGGGAAGTCTTCATTAAGAATATCGATCAGGGTCCCAAAACTTTCTGAGCCTGTGGGCTCGTCTGGAGTTCTGACATGGCGTGGTGCCCGCGGCAACAAAACGGTTGCCACAAAAATGGCTGCTGCGGGAGCCGGAGCCAGACGCAAAATGATTACCACGGCTTAACTTCAGTAACACAGTGTAGATGAGAAGAAGAGTTGGTTTTCATACCCTGCTTTTCTCTACCTTAAGGAGTCTCAAAGCAGCTTACGATTGCCTTGCCTTTCCCCTCCCCCCACAACAGACACCCCGTGAGGCAGGTGGGGCTGAGAGACTTCTGAGAGAACTGGGAGTGGCCCAAGGTCACCCAGTAGGCTTCATCTTGGAGGAGTGGGGAATCGAACCCAGTTGTTGCCAGATTACAGAGTCCGCTACTCTCGACCACTACAACATTTAAAAAATATATCTGCATAGCTAATCAAATCATCAATAGTCAATCAGAAGCCTTGCTGGAAAAAAGCCCTACCTGGCCCCGGCCACTTCCTAGAAACCCCTGGCAGGCACTAAAAAAAGATGTTGCTAGACACCAGGGTGCCCACCAGGAGCACACTGGGGACCCCTGATATAGATACAGCCCTGGTTCCTCTTTCACCACTTTGCCTAATTAAATGTAATTCCACGCACTCTTGTTTCTCTAGTGTTCTGATAGTATTTGTCAATGTACAGCTCTCTGTAGCGCATTCCCTGACCTGTTAACTACAGGAGTAAAGGGAGAAGGAAGAGGATGGGGGATTGGATGCAAACTTCTTTAAAACTACCAACCCCCCCCCCCACAGCATACAAAGAGCGTGCTCTGCTAGTATTATGACACCATCCCCGCAACTAGCTCAGTGCGATAGATATATGAACCGGTGAGAGGACTAGGCTGGAAGCAGGATGCTCCTTTAGTGAGCACTGGCAGAGGAGATGGCACTGACTGCTAGCGAATGAGAAAATTCTGCTGCCATCTGACCAACACGTATCCCAAACTTTGTGGTCCTAAAGAGGCTCTTCTCCCAACCACACAAAGCTCAATGGGTGCTTAGAGCTACAACCAGGTTTGCTGCGGGATTTCTAATTTTCAGGAAAAAAGCACCCACAATGCTTTGCACAGAAAGACTATCCCAGCCACTGTTTTGGCTGAGGGAGTGAGAGGATTCTTCTTCCACAGGAGCTGGAAGGAGGCAGCAGCCTTCTAGCAGTTTAGCTGAAGGTGGCCTTCATGTCAGTGTGTTGCTGTCAGAAACCTTTCATAGGCATTTTCTCCCAGCAATGCACAAGCTTCTTTTTAAATCAGGACACAAATTTTGTTCTCGTTTACAACGCACTTAAGTCCCCTAATATTTACATAGGATCGCAAGAGAAATCCAGGGGAACGCAGCATGTGCCCACCCTACACTAATCTTGAAGCCACCGCCCTCGGTCTGCAAGACCTGAGCAAGGGTGTTAATGACGGGATGTTTGGGAGAACTTTAATTCTTAGGGCAACCATGAGCCGGAAGTGACTTGACAGCACTTAACAAGCACATACAGATGGGCTTTTGTTGGAATCCTCATTTTCTCCTTTTCAAAATAAAAGTTCACAAGTTTGCAATAAGTGGACAGATGTATTCCAAATGAGGCAGCAAATGTTAAGTCTTTCAACTTAATTTCTATATTCTGATTTTTCTAACATCTTCCTAAGATTCTCATTCGTGGGGCTGGATCCAGACTGAGCTGTTAATTTCCACTGAAATCCCTCTTCCAACTGCAAACTTCCATTATGTTGATCCTCAGGGTCCCTTACCCCCCCACACACACCATTTTCTGCAAATCGGTGGGAGGGGGAAGGCCAGAAAATTCCATCCACTGCCGAAAAAATTTAATCTGGACCCAATCCACAGTAATAATTAAGAGATTAAAAATACTGTTATTAACTGGAAATCGGCACTAGCCATGTCTATGAAAAGATATACAGATCACATGCAACTAATACACTAATTAAATGTGGCCCTTCAAGCTGACAAGCTATTCACAATCCAGCTGCGAGGAACATGTTCCACACTCTTCTTCAAGACTAAAAATTCCAACTGTAGAAGCTTAAACAAATAATATTCCTGAGAAGCAAGGTAAGGGTATAGTCAGGATCCAAAGGAATGTACCATTCATTCAATGCACTAAAGGGGATTTTCAATTGGTTTTTATTTATCACCAGCAGTCATCCCCCCCCCCAGCTGCATTATGGCAAACCACTTTCAAAGCAAGAGGGTGGGGGTCTCAAGAGCAGTAAGTGCGATGTGGCACTTGAACCAGCCTATTTATGGTGCTAGAGAGGCTGCTTCTCCCAAACATACCTTAAGCCGGGAAGCTACTGCAACCGTTCACGGACACTATAAATATGCACGCAGTGAAAAATCTGAATGCAAACTTTTTTAAATTGTAAGGGAGACTATGCAAAAGTTGTAACTCAAGGTAGCACTTTCACTTGACAGCAGCTTGTTGCTTCAGAAACAGGAACTGCTGCAGAGAAGACTACAAAAGCTGTGGAAATGCTGACCTTACACACATTACTGTTTCAGATTATGGCCCATAAATCTTACTATATCTGTCACCGGCACGTTTTAATTCAAGCGTCAGCATAAACCCATAATGCTGAATTTTTAAAAAGTATTTTGATGTGAACAAGTAGGGCATATTAGGCTTCATGGCTGAGCACCACTCTTAACAAAACCAAAGATAAATTGTGTATACCAGTTGGACAAAATTCTATAGCACATAGCATTTGACAAGCATAACTTCGGTTTTACAGTAAAGTGGAATAAAGTGCCTGGCAATTAAAAGAGAGCTGGTACTAGTACAAAGAGCTTCTGCAAACAAAGACTCCGTTTAAGGAGATAGTGCATCACCCTCTCCACAACAGGGCACTGTGAGACAGAGGCATTTCAAGTAACTCTGTTAAATGGAGGGGGTTAGATTCCATGCACTGAGAGAAATGAATGGAACACTCCTATCCCTCCCTTCATAAAAACATAAGATGAGCCCTGCTGGATCAGACCAATGGTCCATCTAGTCCAGCATCCTTTCTCACACAGTGGCCAATCCATTCCTCTGGATGGCCAACAACAGGGCACAGAGGCCAAGGCATTGCCCTGATGTTGCCGCTTGGCTCTGGGATTCAGAGGATTAGTACCTCTGAATGTGGAGGTTCCGCTCAGTCACCATAGCTGGTAGCCATTGGTAGACCTATCCTCCATGAATCTATCTAATTCCCTTTTAAAGCTGTTCATTCCCATGGCCTTCGCTACACCCTCTGGCAGCAAATTTCACATTTTAATCACTCTCTGTGCAAAGTAGTATTTCCTTTCATCAAAGCAGTATTCCCCTTTCACAGTTTGATGTAGCGGTTAGGAGCATGGAATCTAATCTGGGAGAACCGGGTTTGATGCCCCACTCCTCCACATGCAGCTGCTGGTGTGACCTTGAGTCAGTCACAGTTCTCTCAGAGCTGTTCTGGAAAGAGCAGTTCCTGAAAGAGCTCTCTCAGCCCCACCTACCTCATAGGGTGTCTGTTGTGGAAAGGGGAAGGGAAAGGAGACTGTAAGCTGCTCTGAGACTCCTTCAGGTAGTGAAGGGCAGGGTAGATAAGAACATAAGAGACGCCAATGTTGGATCAGGCCAAAGTCCCATCCAGTCCAACACTCTGTCACACAGTGGCCAAAAATACCAGGTGCCATCAGGAGGTCTCTTCTTCTTCTTGCTGCAACCTGCTATGCCCCACACACTCAGGAACAGCATTGGGAGAGGGGGCCACAGTGGGGGGATCAGTGAAAATCTCACATGAGATGTGCTGCTTCCACAAGTGGCACACTCACAAAATCCTGTTCCGCCAAAAAAACAAAAAAAAACCCCTCAGAGGTGTTTGCCTTAAATTCTTCCCGAGGAACAACAAATACCCATCACATTTCCAGGTATATCTCTAACTTATGGACTAGAAGCTTCCACCACTCCCCCCAAGTGAGTAAAATGGTTCTCAAAGATTCTGTTCAATCTACCCTTTTGCGCTGAAACAAGATTCCATGATATCACTGTGAGAAAGTAAGACTTCCAACCTTTAATTACCTAGACGGAGCTTTATTTCTTGCAACTGCCCCAACCCTAAGTCAAATGGATGCCAAACTAGGTTTGTGGCTACCTAGCGAAGGAGCAGAAAGGTTCATAATCTGACAAAAAGTAATGGAACAGAGCTAGACCCAGGAGATTGGGTGAGGTGGGCCTGTGTAAAAAAAAGTCTGCAAACCTGGATTTCCTCTAAAGCAGTTGCCCCTTTTTGGGTACTGAAAGCCTAGGAGAGGCAAATCTTCTAGCCCTCAGTGACTTCCTCAGATGGGGAGTGAAGACAATGAGAAAATATAAAAACGCCACACTAGTCACACTAAGAGATCCAAAAAATAAGGCTAAGGCCGATGGTGCAAAATGAAAGGGGGGGGGAATACACTTTATTACACAGTCAGAATCCCCCAAATTCCCGACATGTCTTGCCAACAGGCTTCTTCAAGGCAGGGGAATCTGTCGGTCTTTGCAATGTTTCTCCCAGAAGAGCACGATATCACCGTTGGCGAAACATGTATGGAACTTTGGGAATTAAGACTGAGTAACGAAAGGTATTTTTACTTTTATTTTGCACCCTCACCGAGTGAAGACAGCCTCAACGGCTGCGGAGAAACTACAGACACCTTGACAATTACAAGGACGCTTAGGCGGAGCCGTTGAAAAGAGTGCTGGGCCCAACACCAACCTTGCGGGCCAAGGCGTGATCTTGCTCCCTTGCTGGACCAAAGCTGAGGACATCCAAAGCATTACTTGCTCACAAGGTACACCCACAAGCCCAGGACCAAAGGACTTGGTGGGACCTTAGCTGTTCTCACCTCTACATCCTTTGTTTGAGTGGGACCTGGACTAAGTTTTCCAGCAATGGAAGGGAAGAGGTAAATTCCCACCAATTCTCTTTCTGCTGCAGACTCCGAATTTTGCCTCATGCCTGTCCGGAGGGTCGCCTGTCCCCACCCCCGGAGCAGTATTTCGGGGAGGCCAGTGGGCAGCATTGCGAGGAGGAGGAGGAGACAGGAAAGTTCACTTCCATTCCATGGACAGAATCCCATAAAACTATTTTCATTAACATTGTGTGTACTCCTTTAAGAATACTTGCAAATTTTGTTATCTAATAGTTCAGAGGTCTGAGTAACTTTAGTTTCCTGTTTTGCATAATCACCGGGCTTTGCACTGACAAGAGGCACGAATGGAAAACGACCACAGAGGCGACACTCGGACATGAAACAAATGGCAAGTTTGATTCAGGTGGGGTAGCCACGTTAGTCTGAAGCAGCAGAACAAAGTTTGAGTCCAGTGGCACCTTTAAGGCTAACAAAATTTTATTCAAGGCGTGGGCTTTCGTGTGCACGATGGACTCAAGCGTTGTTCAAATGGCAAACGTAATGATGTAAGATCGCAAACGTCATGAAATAGGAGGCTGACGGCCCTCCCCCATCCCCGCTGTCGACTGTGATTAGCTGTGGCATCTGAATTGGGGTGCCTTCACTAACTGGGGATAATTCCTTGCCAGTAACCACATTTCTCAGCAAACAATACCAGTCGATAATCCCAGTTCCTGGGGAAAAAATGACTAACCTCAGTCAGTGAAGGCAACCACATTTGGACATCAGAATTGGAGTTAGCGGAACACCTGTCTTCAATCTTGGCATGCGGCACAAGGGGAAGAGGAAGAGAGCACGTGAGCCCAACATTTAAGCCAGTTTGCGTACACTGAACAAACTAAGATTTATTCATTGTGTCTGATACTGGTGCCCTGACATGGATAGCCCAGGTTATCTCGATTTCAGAAGCTAAGCGGGATTTGTTCTGGTCAGTATTTGGAAGGGAGACCACCAGGGACGTCCAGAGTTGCTATGCAGAGGCAGGCGATGGCCAAACACCACTGAACGTCTCAACGGGGTCACTGTATGTCGGCTGCAACTCGACAGCACTTTCCACCACCTCCTGATACCCATCACTCAACTCTACCCTGCTAAAGGTAAAGGTTTCCCTTGCTCGAAAGCTAGATGAATCCGACTCTAGGGGGAGATGCTCATCTCCGTTTCCAAGCCGAAGAGCCAGTGCTGTCCAAAGACTTCACCGTGGTCATGTGGCTGGCATGACTAAATGCCGAGGCACGCAGAACGCTGTTAACCTTCCCACCGAAGTGGTACCTATTTATCTATCTGCAATTTCTTGCTTTCAAATTGCTAGGTTGGCAGGAGCTGGGGCCAGAGATGGGAGCTCACTCTGTCACGCGGCACACTCGGGTCTCAAACTGCCGAACTACAGACCTTCCGGTCTGCAGCTCAGCTAGCCTTTCCTTAATGATATTCTCTTGAAAATCCCAGCAACTGCGGGGTTATTTTCCAGAAATCATTAGTACCTCAATTCTCACTCTACCCATCATCTGATGCATTTCTTTAGAGCTACAGAAAAGAGCTACAGCTGCCATAAACACTGAGTTTTTTGGCATAGAGATAAATGAGCCAATAAGGCTGTCAGCATTATTACGCATAGTTCTGCCAGCACCAACAACACCCACCCCTACGAGAACACAGCTATTACAGCAAAGCTCCAGCATAACTCAATGTAACCCCACCAGCAAGCGCTTGCCGCTCTGAATTATGGATTAAGGATGTGCGCTATTTTGGAGTACAAAAAGAGCTGAAGTAATTAGTTACCTTTTGAATCTCTTACTCCCCTCCCCCCCACACACACCAGGGAACCCAGATTCCCCTCGTTTAACAAGACACTCTAAAGCTAGCTTACCTTCCGCACTACCTCCTCCTCTTCCTGGCGCTTTTCGTAATGAGAAAAGTCATCGAAGATGGAGGTTGTGTGCTTGTACGTCGCAATAATTTTAAGCACTTGTTTTGCTTTTTCTAAGGGCACCTCCTGAGTGTCGCGGGAGTTTGTAACTGGCTTGTTGTCATTGTTCTCCAGCCTGATGTGTCGCAGCTGGTTGTTGGGCACGTCCTTCACAAAGATCCACTTGACGTCGAACTTCCCCTTCCACTTGTCCTGAGACCAGACACCAGCGCTGGTACCATAGTCCACCGGCGACTTCATTTCTGCCACTCCGCAGAAATGTCCGCTGCCATTGACGCTGAAGAGCAAGTAGACGGGGCCTTTGCTGTTCATGGAGCGGAAAGCACTGTCCAGACGCTTGTTGCCGTGCTCTGTGCTACACCAGATGGAGTACTTGATCGAGCGGTGGATGTCGTCCTCCGAATAGCTCTTGATGATGAACACGCGTCCATTTTTAAGGTTCCACTCAAAGTCCTTGGGGTTGTAGCTGTGAGCGGCTTTCAGCTTTTCAAGAACAGGGTGGGACTCGCCGCCAGGGATGGAGTTCGCCGGGATACTCCCAGGTGAGTTACTCTCGTTGCCTGTCCCTCCGCTTTGGCCGAAAGCCGCATTTCTGTTACGGGGTGCCACCCACCGATTTTGGGGTGGGGGTGGCTGAGGGTTCTGATATGGCAGCTGGGTCAGCGGAGGCGGCTGAGCAGGAATAGGCTGGATGATCTGTGGCTGTGGGACTGACTGGGGAGATGGGATCTGCTGGGGAGTTGGAACTTTGGCCACTGGACCTTTGTTGTCCCAAGTACCTATATCCATATTATGCTTTATAGGCGGGGGAGGCAGAGCTCCTCCTATTACAGGCCCACTTTTTGTTTTCATCTTGGGTTGAGGTTTTGCAGGTTTGCTAGCAATAGCAGCCCAAGAGGTCGGCTTCGACACTGGCAAGTTTATACTTGAGCCACCGTTGCCAGATAAAGCACCTGTCATCCCGGCACTGTTGACCACAGAGCCTACTGTTTTCACAGCGGAGGCCGTGACATCCCCGCCAATCTTCAGCCCAACCATTCCCTGTTCGATGCTGTTCATCCCAGGAGCTTTATTCAAAGTATCGTTGTGAAATCCCGTCTGGCCGTCGACGATCGTCCCACCCAGAGAGCTGGGTGGGTAGCTGTAACTGCTCCCATAAGCTGAGTTTTGAGTCTGCTGCCCTTGGGACCCGCTTGTCCCCCAAGCTGAGAAAGCTGGGTTTTCGGGGAAAAAATTAAACCTGTGCTGGTAGATGTTGTTCCCCAGTCCCCCGGGCTGTCCAAAAACAGCATCGTGCATGAAGTGATGGTCGCCATTGCTCAGCTGTCCGTAGGTAGTGAGGTATGGGATTGGTGGGTCTCCTCCAGTGGACCACGGCGCTTCACTGAGAGAGTACGGGAAGCCAATAGAAGGCGGGTAATAACTGGATAAGTAAGGATCTGTCATTGATGGATAGCTGTTATTCTGTTAAAAAGGAAAAGAGATTTCAGATTTGGATAGTCACAGTGTGGAAGTGAAGTCCGCAGAAATGCTCCAGGAAAGTTTAAATCCCCTACATTCTAGTGTTAATACTACCATAACAACCAAAATGCCTTCTGTTTTAAGTGTTGCATTGCCTTTTCCTTATATCTCTGCAACGCATATTTTATTGCCTTTTAAAAAAATGCAACCATGAAATCAAAGTACGGCTGGCAAAAAATAAAGGGTGTGTGTGTGTGCTGTAATCCTGATTTAAGGTACCTGTGGAATAAAATAAATTGACTCCACCTGTGAACGTACAGAGGGCAGACATGTGGGTGAACTGGGCCCAGACCGATTACAACACTTGTGAATCAACTGCCCAGAAAATCAGGAGTAAGTTGAGCATGCGGAAAAGACCCCATTCATCCTACACTCTCTCTACTCTTTAAGGTATCTCAGCTTTCTGACCTTAGAAATCTCTCCCAGATCATGCGCACAATGCCACCACCTTGGTTTTTAGTTTTGTATTTCCTCATAAAGCCTGTCTTACCTTTCACCTTTCCATAGCTCCCTTTCCTCTTAGGGTTGTCCAATCTTCTGCTGCATGTATTATGCTCTTAATCCCCTTTCTGCTCATTCTTTACATACTCTGACCTGAAAGTCCCTTTTGGGCGGTAGAGCTTTACCCACCAGTTTCTATTCTGCCACAACTTTTGGCATAATAATCAGAAGAGCAGTAATAATAATTATCAACATGTATATTACTGCTGCTTTAATGAGAAGGGACATTAAGGACATAATCAACAGTACACATCACACCATTTTTATACACTGGTTTTCCTGAAAAGGGTACACTCCCCAATGTAAACACTCAGTTCTTTCAGAATTACCTGGACAATATTAATCAGCATTTCAAAACTGGCATCATTGTTTTATTTCTTGCCACAGGATGCAGCAAGTGCAAAAAGCAAGCATGGATAATTCACAAGAAAGGACCAGTAATTCCTTCTGGCCTGGAGACATGCTTTTGTCCTCCAAAGCTACATTTTTATCATGCATCCAGTTTGCAGCTTACAAAGATTCGGTTAGAGGGGACCGTCACTGAAACTAGCAAATTGCTCTTTCCTGAAGTACTTCTGATCTCCTAAACATTCTCACATGATTTAAGTAAATCACTGTCTTGTGCAGAACATTTCCACACAGCATGATAAAGCAGCCCCTGCAGGTCATCTTTCTGAAGTTTGGCTTAAAAGTCGCATGACCCCAAAGATACCATTTATTTATTGCATTTTTAAAAATCCTGCTTTACAGCCGACAAGTGGCTCCCAAAGTAGCTTCCAGGTACAAAATCTGGAAAAGGGCGATAGGGAAGGGAGTCCCAGTAAGAGCTCCAGGCACAATGAAGGGGAGGCTTGGCTCCTTCCTCTTGCCCATGTGGTCTCAAAAATGGCAGCTAGTAATTAAGGCTTATCCCAGGCAGTTTACCAGTAACTTTTAATGGGATCAGCTATTTCTGGGAACTGAGGTTCCTGCAATAAAAAAGGTCTTATATGGGAAATATCAGATTTTCAATATTTCTCATGTCCTAAAACAAGCATCTATAATGTTATACAACAGCAACATCTAAGAGTTCCTTTTTTTAATTAAACAGGACCACGACGTAGTGTGAAGTAAGTGGCAATGTTTTAGAAACACTGTGATGCTACAGCCATGTACACAAGTAGGGCTTTCTACAGAAAGCAGACAGACTCATAGGTAGGCACTGGCCCCAACAACTGTCTGCAGAAACTGGATTCACAGTATTTGGAATTATTATGTCACACAGCATTGGGAGTAGAGCTATGTCTATGACCATCGTGGCACAGCTTTGACTGTTATGTTCATAGTGGATTTCTTCCAAGCCACTCTACCCACTTTCCTCTAAGGCATGAATTCACAGTATGGAAAAGAGGGCAAGACAGCACTGGTATCTGAAAGCTTCCACTGAGAATTACGGATAGTTATTTTCCAAGGGTAACTTTTGGGAAATATGAAATGGCAAGAATTCAGCTATGTCATTTGCTTTTGGACAGTCTATTAAAATACGCTAGGATAACTGGCGCTGCATGATGCTGAATATACCCAAGCTTAGACTCTAAAAATCAACACGAGTTTCGTTAAAAATGACCTCCCATGGAACATCAGAAATATGTATATAATATCAGCAAATGAATGAAATTGTTTAGTAACAAGCCTTTTTTTAAAAGAATGTTGACACTATCGTTGCAAAGGACCTTTACTGAAGCAGGACAGCCCATACATAGCCATTCCTAAGTATCTCCCGTATCATCTAGGTTATGTTGTATCTCTAGCAGAGAGTCGGAAGGATCAAATCATGATATCCCAAGGTGTTTGAAAGAGAAGGAATCCATGTAGCCAATATCAAAGGCAAGGAGGCTGGGCATACAGGCAAAATATGTCACACCACTATCCAACCCGACCAAGAACACAAGGTTTTCTAACCCTATGCAAAACAAGACAAAAGAGTGGAGAATTGCATAGCAGAGCATCACTCAAGAATCATGCTGTTTTGGATCCCAAGTTTTCCACAGAGAAGAGGCAGTGGTTGCACCACAATTTTCACCAATTCCCCTCTACAACTACAGAATTCCATGTTGAGGATCCACTAACTCTGGA